TAACACTGCAATAAATCTACTCAACGACCTTACATCAGCCGAGTAACTTGAGCACCGCGAAAATCTTTATCACTCATTATGATTCAGTTTCTGCAATACTCCAATGTTACATTCCATTACACAGGGTGTAAAACATCCTTTAACAAAGTCGAAGGCCACTTATTTTCCACATCATGACGATATTTTTTTTCTTGTGGACCATATCTGGTAAATTTATGGTTATGGAGATATTTAAGGTCAGTCACAATATTTTTTTCAATATTTTTACATTAATATTTTGAAAACTTTATTTAGAAACTTTTTTATCGACGTACTTACACACACACATTCTTTGCGTAGCGCCATAATAGAGCGGCGCGATTCATTGCGTGCTGAAAAAAAAAGATTTTCTTTTTCTTAAAATTACAAAAGATTCCCGTGCATAATATTTTGCAATATTACTTGTTTGGGTGTACAGAATGAGTTGTTTTAGTCTTTGTCATAAGTTTTTTTTTACTCCCTGTATATTAACAGTCTATGTCGATAAATTGCCTAATTATGACCCGTTTTAATGATCATGTTAGGGAGGGCTGGTTTGGATTGGCAACATGCTCTTTGATAGGTTTTTATTAGGTGCTCTAAAAACTTAGAAGCTGGTAAATGATTTTATGTTTTTATGTTAAAAGGCTGGCAAACAAGCTTATGACCCGCCCGATGGTAAGCGACCACCATAGCCTATAGACACTTGCGATACCAAAAATATAACTCGCACCGTTGCCTACTCCGACCCAATGTCCTATCCCATGGAGCCCTGAAACCTTACTCACCGACAGAAACACAACACCACCGAAAGGTAGTCTAAAGGTGGAGGATACTTCCCCAGGAGTTGGAGCGCCTCATTTCGTGCGAGAAACCCGCTATACCCTACTTCTCTAATTCTTCAGATATAATATGTGTTTTTTTATGAATTACAGATATTTTGCATAGTATTGGCAATAACCACGATATGTTTAGGTGAGTAATCCTTTATGTATTTATGAGGAATACAATTTCAGGGAAATTTCATTGAAGGAGTGGGCAGGGAGCCCTCTCCGTCAATACCCGTTCGAATCCCAGTAGGGATTTATTTTGTATGATGAATATAAAGATTCCCGTGTCTTGGCTGATTACCTACTCATGTATGTATTTTTTTTAACACACGCACTAATCAGTCTGTCACCAAATTAAGCACTGTAAAGCTTATGTAATGGGATACTGGGGTAACGGATAGAATTCATATAAGTATATTTTTGTTTAGAAAGACATGTACATATCCATGACTTAGGTATAAATGCTCGTATTCATCACACAAACATTTGCCCCACTGGGATTCGAACCCGTGATTACTGAGTAGGCGACACCTTGAAAACCGCCGTACATAACACTCAAGCCATGAAGGTCGGTCCACGGAGGATGAGATTTTAAAAGTTGCCATAGTACAAACTGCATACTTTGCGGTTTAATAATGGTGGTTGATTGTAAGGACCAAATATTATAATCACAAGCCTACTTATTCGTACTTAAGCCCCCTTATTAATAAACGAAGAAAAAGCTTGGATTAGTTAGTTAATGTTTTGTCTCTGTTCATTGAATGACAAATGGTATTTGAGTGGTATGAACAAAACACGACGTAACTAGTCTAAACTTATTCCTTAATAAATTAATAAAGAGGAATAAACAGACCATACTCCTCAATGCAGGCTGAGCAATAAATTACAACATACGAGTTGGACTCACAAGCAACAAATTATCACAAAGCAAATAATTGTACATGATTTAGCTATAGGTCCAGCGAAAACCTAAAAATACAACTTTCTTCCCGCTTTAGGGCCTGCGCTGCGTTAAGTGGAAGCACGGCGCTGCTCTATGAAATAACATGAAATAAACACACGGAGCTCAACGCAGCGCAGACCCTTAATTTTCTTTTTTTTGTAATTTTGGCTAAGTAGGCGACAAAATAAATTTTCTGTTTAAAATTCAACTGCCTCTAATACTTCATCAGGTAAAGCCCGCTGACAGACCGATGACTTGGTTATTATCTTTGTGATTACAGCTCAGCCTCAGCATAATGATGGCGGTCATGCAGGCCATGGAGGTCAAGGTCAACAAGGATATGGTGGCACTGGGCACCAAGGAGGTTACGATCAACAAGGTGGACAGGGGCATCAGGGTGAACATGGGCAAGCAAGTGGATACGGGCACTCAGGTGGTTCCGGACAACCAAGTGGATTCGGACATACAGGTGGTTCCGTTCAACCAAGTGGCAATGCTCAATCTACTGGACATCACGGGGGTTACCAAGAGCATGGATATTGAAATGTTGGAAGATCTAAAAACTGAATATTTATTGGTTTTTGAATAAATTCTGTATTCGAATCTGGTTATATTATTTAATTTATTTATCACGTACTATATTGTTTTACACTTTACTCCATCTAGTTACTCTGTGATCATGGCGCTTGCAAAAGTGCCGAAATATTGGGGAATAGTAAAAAACAAGGTGCATGATTGCAATCCCGTTAGTAACATAAATTACTATAATTTGATTTCATTGGCTTTTGGCATGGGCTAGTTAATAACATAATTTATTTATAACCAAATTTAATGATAAGTACAAAAATATGCGAGTACTTTCAAAATATGGGCTCTCGTCGAATTCGCCCGAGTTGGAGCTCGGATGGGCAACACCGAAAAATTTTCATGTCCAACTTATCCATTACTTATTCATATAGTCCATGTAACCCTCTGGCATCTACATATTTGATTCTGTGAATTATGTAAGTAAAACAAATTATGAGACTGGTATAATGCCGGACGTTTGCAGCCACTACCAATTTTAGATAGTCAACGAATATAAGTAAATGAATTTATACTCCTAAACTACTTAAAGAAGTTTTTGAATAAGTACTTGTTAAATGTAAATGATATAATAGGTAACGCCTGCATTTTACTTCACACATTTTTGCGAAAATTGAAGCCCATCTGTAGCCTTAACTCGGGTGGTAAAGTCGGGACCTATTATTGAAAAAATTTGAACCATTCTTGAATATCGAATTGGTCCCAACTTTTAACTAAAGTAGCTTTGTTTCTAACTTAACAGAATTATAGAGTACTGGATTTGTTTTTTTCTTTTCAGTTTTTATTGGGAGTAACATTTAAGCAGTTGGGTTTGTTGATTTTTTAATGTAATAAATTATACGAGTATTATATTTACAGGTTGTTACAAAAAAACCCGTTAGGCTTGAAGGCCGTTGGAGTTTATCAAATAAGGAGTCTTCTCTAATTTTGTGAAAATATATGCAGGAGGTTTAAACTTTTTGTTAAAAGAGTTATTTTTAATGATGAATAAAAATATCGATAATTTTTGTAGCACATCACTAATTCGACTAATTCGAGGTCATGCACCTTACCAGGAGTAATAACAAATCTGATATGTACACTATCTCTTTCTTTATACTAGGTATAGGTAACCTATGCTCCTCGCACACACATAAAGATAGGCAGACTGTCCAATTCTGTAAACAAATACCTGATGCCTAGTAAATGAAAGAAATTCCATAACATGCTGAACTGGGAGCAAAACAAAACATAGAATGGGCAGTTTAGAAAGTGTTGTGGGCAACTGGCTAGCAACCTGACACTTTTGTTTCCAGTAGTTACAGTAAAATATTTAGTCGTCGTTGAACTATGGCTATAAGATTATCTCTCTAGCTAGCCACACCTTCGATGATCTGCCAACCAAATGATGTAGGCGCGATGGTATTATTAATGTAAATTAGATAACGACATGAACATTATGGCACTCGTAGAAAAACAAGAATTATTTACTGCACTACCTTAAATTATTCGTTAATATCATAGAGAAAAAGTTTTACAGTACTCATACTTTTTTTATTTATTCACTTATTTACTTTAAGCCTTAAATTATTCATATCACAGATATCTTGTTTAATGACAGTCTTTTAAACATACACAACAACAAGACTGCAATTACAATAAAAAACAGAACTTTAAAAAGTACTGAAAAATTATGCCCTTCTCTCAATTAGTAACTAGTAACATACACAAATGTTTATAACAAACGATAGCCTACAAAAGAGGTTCACAATGACGTCCGTCTTCTTGAACGGGTCTGGCTATGGCCTGTGTGTGTGTCGCATTTCGTACCATCGTTAATGATATTGTCGAGAAGACAGATCGCACGCGGTTTTCCATGTCTTCAATAGAAGAACAATCTGTATGATAAACGCGGTCTTTCACATAGCTCCACAGTAAAAAGTCCAGTGGTGCTATATCAGGATTACGCCTCAGCCAGGATATCAAGCCCCTGCCCTCCATTTAGCCTTGATGGTATCGAGTGTTAAGATATGCTCGCACAGCTCGGGCAAAATTTTGGCGCAAATCACTATTAGCTGATCGTAGTCGTTAGACACATATTCAACATATTGTTGGATAATTTACCAAAATAATATTATATAATTATTCATATTGGAAGGATTAGGTTACACGTGAAGACAAAAAAATATATTATCTCAGTTGCACTATTGAAAATGAAACTATGTAAGTATGTGCTGCAATGATGACCGTGTTGTGTATTGTATATTTCTTCTCAAAGTTCTTGCAAGCGACAACTGTTATTTAAGTCAAAATACATAATACTAAAAGTCTTTTAAAGAATTTGGCCGCTTTGTTCTATGAATTAGTTTAATTGTAGTAAGGGTAATTTTAGCACTCGTAACAAGTTCTTCGACAAGCAATCTATATTTTAATCAAACGTGTGGATGGGACTGTTACACAATCTAATCGGAAGCTGCAACAAAGAAAAGCTTTGCCATAAACGTTATCGAGACGAGTTGTTCCTTGTAGATTACCTTCGAATGAGTGTCCATAACTTTGTATATGAACTTTGTGCGGTGATAAGAGTGCATCAGATTCAATATTTTCCAAATATTGCCTCGTTTTTTACAATTATAATATTCTGTTCATAAAATACCTTTTGCCTCATTAAAATAAAGTTAAAGGAGTAAAAGGTTTGTCTATTATTGAAGTTTGTTTTATTAGGTAAACTTTTTTACAACACAAATCGACAAATTTCTAGACAGTTCTCTGTTTTTCTGCGAGTTTGTTTTTTATCAGTTCGCGGAATAACAAGATGTTAGGAGCATTCCCTTTTTTGTAGAACTCTTGTTCGGAACATTTTCGCCACCAATCAGTCAATTTTGGATACCTGAAACAGTCATTTCAATTACTATGTCATTATTTTCATAATGCTGTATTAGAAAGAAATTTTAGTTTAGAGGGACATCGATATAATGTAATAAGCTCCAATTGAGTCCATTTTTGTTTAAAAACCACGTGTTTCCTGCTGGATACAACCAGGGTTTGATGTACTCCAAGATTGTTGTACTTGATAGTAAAACTTTTACACCACAATTCCTATGCGAGCGAACATAGTTGTTGTATCCTAACATTGTTAAAAATAACAATAACTCATAGGTGCATTCAGTTTCATAAAAATATGAGGTAACAAGGTGATCGAATACATCTTAGAAGGAAAAGTAAACAAAAACCCCTAGGCACAAGACTACGCAAATCTTTGATTTGACTAATGTTGAACAAACGAATCTATATGTTTTTTTAATGCAGTAGTCGCTGTCGCTTAGAGACCAAAATCGTTGATTACCAGAGATTTGGGTAGCGTTGCGGACGAAAGGGTTGTGGAGATACTTATTTCGAATTATTTCCTGCATTTTCATTCCTTAGGAAAATTTAATCTATTTGTTTCAAAATAATTGTTCCAAACAAAAAACACGTTAATTACGTTATCAAATGAAAGGTGCAGTGCTGCCAACACCAAAAAATCTTTCATGCTAAATCGACGTTAAAAAAATGTCAAAAATATACTAAATTTTAAAAAAGATGCCAAAATATTATGCTAACCACTAATGTCCATTACCGATATTTGTTATAAAAGATTGTAACTGTAATGTATGTGATAAAATATAATATATTAGTGTAAATTAGTAACAACACAATTATAATAGATATATTAATGTTTAATGTTGATTAGTAATACAGCCATTCTTTAAATTCTGTCATTAATTCCCACTCCAAACGTTTATGCTGAGTATATTTCGAAGTCATTGTTAAAATAATATTAGAAACAGTACAATACAAAATTACCGCTATTACACGTGTAAATGTATTGTTTGTTTGACAGCCACTCAACTAACTAATATGATAATCAATGATTATCATGTTAGTTGACTTAATCATTAAATAACAATTCATTCATTCATTAATCTGTTTTTCAATTCGGGGATTAAGCATAGAAAACACAACGAAACGAACGACGCATAGACTAGTTAAAATAGTTTTTGAACGACAGTGAAGTAGCAACAAGTGTGATATTTTTTTATTGCTAGACGGCTGAACAAACAACAGTTGATAAATTTGGCCAATTGGGGAGCGGTCAGGGTAAAAATTGAAACGTAATTTAATAACGTAGCATTTAATTTCTGATAAGTTAACAAGACTAAATGCTAAAAAAAATGATGTCGCGCAGCAAAATCCCTATCCCCTCCAAGCCTGCCGTAAGGAACTTCGTCACGCTGATAAGTACTCACCTTGTAATCATAATCACGTCTCACAGGCGTTACTGGTCCACAGCTTGATATAACTTCACAAATATCCAGTGTTGGTGTAATATCACAATATTTCAGTGATGCACCCTCGTCGCTCTACCACCCCCTATAACTTCACACATATTCAGTGTTGGTGTAATATAACAATATTTCAGTGATGCACCCTCGTCGCTCTACCACCCCCTATAACTTCACACATATTCAGTGTTGGTGTAATATCACAATATTTCAGTGAGGCACCCTTGTCGCTCTACCACTCCCTATAACTTCACACATATTCACTGTTAGTGTAGTATCACAATATTTCAGTGATGCACCCTCGTCGCTCTACCACTCCCTATAACTTCACACATATCCAGTGTTGGTGTAATATCACAATATTTCAGTGATGCACCCTCGTCGCTCTACCACCTCCTATAACTTCACACATATTCAGTGTTGGTGTAATATAACAATATTTCAGTGATGCACCCTCGTCGCTCTACCACCCCCTATAACTTCACACATATTCAGTGTTGGTGTAATATCACAATATTTCAGTGATGCACCCTTGTCGCTCCACCACCCCCTATAACTTCACACATATTCACTGTTGGTGTAGTATCACAATGTTTCAGTGATGCACCCTCGTCGCTCTACCACTCCCTATAACTTCACACATATTCAGTGTTGGTGTAATATCACAATATTTCAGTGATGCACCCTCGTCGCTCTCTCTCCTGCCGTAAGGAACTTCGTCGCGCCTGCGCACGTCTCATTTAACGGTTTATTCCACGCACTTTTTTCCACCGATTTTTTCTTACGGTTTTACTATCACATTTTTTTCAGTTCGGTCGCGCAGCAAAATCCCTATCCCCTCCAAGCCTGCCGTAAGGAACTTCGTTTGTTCCAAAAATATGCTTCATGCTAAAATGATTTTTTTAATGCTAAATCACTTAAAAATATGCTAAATTTAGCCATAAATATGTTAAATTGGCAGCACTGGAAAGGTGTGGGTAGCCTCATAAGCAATAGAAAATACATGAAAATATTTTTTTTTATATGGATAGGTTCGACAAATGACTTCACCCCACCTGATGTTAAGTGATTGGTTATATGGTTTAAGTCCATTGCGTTTCTAAATTAATGAATAGTTTCGCTTTGAAGTTCTAGGTTAAAAAAATGTACTAAAAAATAAAATATTCAAAGAGAATAGACTAAATTATATTGTTAGCTGATCCTTGACAGTTCTTATTTCATATCAAGCATACGCAGTGTTATCTCTGATGAGCAAAATGTCTTACTGTTTATCATCAATGGGAACTATTTCATTCATGGAGCTTATAGTTGACACGCAGCAGATATCAGCAATGGTAACTTCATCACCAGCCAGCCAGCTCTTAGTGAGGAACTTCTCCATAAAATCGTAGCACTCCTTAAACTTTGCCAAGTTTTCTGGTCTGAAATCTTTATCATCCGTATATAATACTGGTGCCTGAAAAATAAATAACGAATAATACTGAGCAAATCCCTTAATTAATTACTCAGAACTAAGAATGTAAATAATACAAAAGCGTAAGCGTAGTAACGCTTACTGATAAGTGCCACAGAATAAGTAACTATTCCGGAAATCAGATATGTTGATTAAGTATTATCATAGTTGGTTACACACTACAAGCAGTATAACTAGCTTAGCTCTTAGATTGTCTCGATATTAGGCACTAATCATAATCCATGTAAGTAGTTTCGTGACGCAGTGGTTAATGTGTCCGGTATGTGAAGTCAACTTTCAATTATTTGCGTGGGCTTAATTGGACCCAAAGTGAGATTGTGTTTTGTCATATTTCGGCAAATATTACACTTACGAGGCTGTGCGGTTTAATTGCTTCCTAGCTCGCCCGCCCTTCCAGTTTCAAATCGAAATCAAATATGGTAAATGTAACAAATTCATGTGTATTGAACACCTTATTACAAAAGTTTGTGATTCATCTGCCTAGTAATATAATTAAAGATGATTTTGATTACTACTTACTTAATTACTTACTCCAGAAGCCTTACATTGTTTTGTTAATTTAGATATATTTTTTTTTATGTTATAGAGGGCATAAGAGCAGACGGCTCACCTGATGGTAAGTGATTACCGTCGCCCATGAACACTTGCAACACCAGGAGTATCACAAATGCGATGCCGGCCTTTAAGGAAGGAGTACGCTCTTTTTTTGAAGGTTTTTGGGTCGTATTGTTCCGGAAACACTGCTGGCGACAATATACTCCACAGTTTTGTCGTACGTGGTAAAAAAATTTCGACAAAAACGAACGGTTGTGGATAGCCACGCATCAAGATGATGGGGATGAAATTTTTGTCGCGATGTACGATGGCGAAATGCAGCAGCTGGAATTAATCCGAACAATTCCTCAGAACACTCCCCGTGATAAATGCCATAGAAGATGTAGAGCGAAGCTACATCCCTACGCAAAGCCAAAGGGTCAAGCTGATCGGAAAGATCCTGGTCGTCGACGATTCGAGCCGCTCGGCGCTGGATGCGATCTAAAGGGAGAAGCTGGTACTGGGGTGCCCCCGCCCAAAGATGAGAGCAGTACTCCATGTGAGGTCGAACCTGTGCCTTATAAAGTTGCAGTCGGTGGGTCGGTGTGAAGTACATACTGGATCTATTGAGCACACCAAGCTTCTTAGAGACCAATTTGGCCTTGCCGTCTAAATGATCCCGAAACTGGACGTCGCTCGATATGTCAACGCCAAGAATTCCAATACTAGCTGAGGCAGTTAGAGGAGTGTTCTGAAAAAGAGGAGATACGATAAATGGTATTTTTTTTGCGGTGAACGCGCATACTTGTGTCTTCGTAGGGTTAAATTGGACTAGATTAAGTCGGCCCCAATTCGTTACTTGGTTTAATAAAGTATCGACTTCAGACACAAGATTGTTCCGGCACTCGATGACGTTTTCCCGTGATATGTTGGCGCGGCCGGTATATAGGGCATCACCCGTGCTGTCGTCTGCATAACAATGAATGCCATCATTTGAAGTATATCATTGATATGAAGAAGAAAGAGCGTAGGTTATCACCTACGCTCTTTCTTCACACAGCCTTGCGGAACACCAGCGTTTACGGATTTGGAGTCTGAGCATGCACCGTCGACTGCAACCTTGATGCTCCTGTCCGCAAGAAAGCTAGTGATCCAAACGCACAGCTTTTCAGGAAGCCCATAAGAAGGAAGCTTCGAAAGAAGCGCTTTGTGCCAAACCCGATCGAAGGCCTTCGCGATATCCAGACCGACCGCCAATGCTTCTCTTGGTCTCGATCGCCTTTGCCCAACGATGAGTCAGGTATACTAGTAGATCAGCAGCCAAGCGACTCTGACGGAAACCGTACTGTTGGTCACTGATCAGCTGGTGGTCCTCTTGGTACCGCAGGAGCTGGCAATTTATAATGGACTCCATTATCTTGGAGAGCAAGGAGGTAATGGCTATAGGCCTATAATTATTAGGGAGTGAGCGGTCGCCTTTTTTAGGAATCGGGTGCACTAAAGCTGTCTTCCATGAGTTCGGAACGACACCTAAAGAGTAGGAGAGCCGGAAAAGACGCGTTAGTACCGGAGCCAACTCAGGACCACACGTCTTCAGCACAATTGGTGAGATTCCATCAGGCCCGCTCGACTTGTGGATGATTAGGGAAAAGATTGCTTTACGCACTAAGCTTTGTGTGAACCGGATCTCCGGCATAGAACTCTCACACCGCGGAATGGTCGGCGGTATGTATCCCCTGTCATTTAGAGTCGAGTTAGACGCAAAGAGTGAGCATAAAAGATCTGCTTTCTCTTTTGCAGTATGGGCCATCGATTCGTCGCCATTGTGTAGGGGTGGAAGTGATGGCTTACAAAAATTTCCTTCAACAGCCTTGGCAAGAGACCAAAACGCGCGGGTTCCAAAAGGAAGTTTATTAATCTCTCGCCAATACTGCTAATGTGCTCTGACTTTGCTCTGGCAATTACTCTTTTGCAGGACCTGGAGGCCAAGTTATACTTCTTTTTGAGATCGCTAGTGTTGTTATCCCCGACCGCCGCTGCGTTTGCCCAGGTCTGATAACACATCTGTTTTTGGCGAGATGCCAGTTTACATTTGTGACCAAACCAAGGCTGGGATTTGCCACCAATGGGAACCACAGAGGAAGGAACAAAAAGTTCTATACCCTGAAGGACAACATCGGCGACAGAATCGGCAGCGACGTTGGGATCATTCTACGAGAAGCAAACCCGGCCCCAAGGGTAGGATGAAAAGAAAGTGCGCATCCCATCCCAGTCTGCTGACTGATAGTGCCACACACGACGACAGCCAGCACATTGCGGTCGCGGTGAGTAAGTGAGTGGCACCATACTCCGGATTAGACAATGGTCCGAGGAGCCAAGAGGGGCATCTATGGACACTTTGTAATTATCCGGATGTGAAATCAGCAGAAGGTCCAACAGTGAGGGTGTATGGTCTTCGACATCTGGGATTCGCGTAGGCGAGGTGATCAATTGTGTCAGACCATAGGCCAAGGCGAAGTCGTGAGCAGATCTGCCTGCATGATCGGTAGTGGGCGATCCAAGCCATTCGGAGTGGTGGGCATTGAAATCACCAAGGATCACAATTTCAGATGATGGGATCTGCTGAAGCACGGAGTCTGTAGCCACCTGGACGTGATCATAGAGTCGGTCAATTTTGGCATTTCCGCTATGGGACCTGTAGAAGCAGGCGTAGACGCGGGGATGGTAGTCGACGTCTACACGCAACCATAAGATATAAGATGGTTGGGCCTCCGGCAGCCTCACTCACTCGGCGAAACAGCACAAAGTACTGCTTCACGCCGGTATTCTGTGTTTATTGTTCTTAAAGTTTCTTATAAAATAAATATATTTACTTATTTTATCAATTTCTTTTTCAAAAGTACATCCTGGTGTTCGTACGGACCCCACGCGACTTTAAATAGTGTAACTATTTAGGCGAGACTAGCTAATAGTTAAACAATTTTTAACAAATTATATGCTATGATCCTCCGAAGAGATCCGTTTCACATCGTCGAAGTCTCTGTTTAGATCATAAGAATTTTCTATTAAACCACCTTAAGTACAAAGTAATGACCTTCGTGACCGGGTGGTTTGAACGCCGGGTTTCCTGTTGTCGCCGACTCCCGAGTTGGAATCCCGGTGGAGGCAGATGTTTGTGTGATGAATACGCGCATTTGTACTCCAGTCATGGATGTTTGATATGTATTTCAATATAAATATAGTTATATAATTATGTACAGCATATATATTCTCTGTTACCCTAGTATCCCATAACACAAGCCTACAGTACTTACTTTGGGGCTAGGCTAATTGGTGTGAGTGTTGGAAAAAGTTATTATTATTATTTATTTAATTATAATTAAAAAAAAACATGCGATTACAAAAAGAAATTTAAAAATCGGCCAATAACAGGTATTACTTCTGACAAAATGACACAATCAATTTGTTACAACGCATTACCTTATATATTGATCAATAGGCATAAAAAATAGTAGTAAATGTACAATAAAATCTATTTGGGACCACCTTGGTTGTATATTCTTGCGATTACAAAAACAATTATGAAAACTTGCCCTTAATTGACGTAGAAATCCAGTAACAAAGCAAAATACTTTTCGAAGTCAGTTGAAAAGGTTTTTATTCAACATCATAATATTATAATTTTTATTATTTTAAAGCATGTAACTGCTTGATGTTCAAATATTACCTTTTCAATAAACTTGTTGAACACTGATGTCAATATAATCCTTGCTGCTCCATTTTCTACTAAAATGATATGGAAGAAAATTTACTTTGACGAGATGAAATAGACTAGAAAGGAGACGGATATTGAGATGATATAAAATATATTAGCGTGTCCATATTCGCATCTTGTAAAGACATATTCGCTTATGCTTCATCTAAGCAAGTTATTAACTATTTACTTTGTAGTGTACGTACAGTCAGAAATGAAAACTTTAAATTTAAGTCAAAACAAATTCTTTATTTAAAACGTGATGACCGATTTGTAAAGTGGTAGCAATTTTGCCTTTTTTCCAAAATTCTTGGTTTTGAATCACGGTAAATTCATTTATTTGTGTGACGAGAAAAATTGTTATTTCGAGAGTGTGTGGGTACTTTATTATACTTAAACAGGTTCCTATTGTTATTTTGTTTAATTAGTACAAACTCTGCTTAGCTCGGTAACTATTGGTAGAAGGAAAATAAAAGACAATTTTTTCGTGACACGAAACCACTTTATTCTGTAATGTATTGCCCATTTTCAGCAATGACCATTTGCCATCTTTCAGGCAGCATCATAATTCCACGTTCATAAAACTTCTGGTTATTATCAGCAAAAATATGAACAAGGCATGATTTGATATCATCATCATTATTTAAATTTTTACCATTCGAGGAGTTTCGCCAAGATCGAAATAAAAAGTTATCATAATATGGTGCAAGGTCAGCACTATATGGTGGATGTGGCAAAACATCCCAACCAAGCTCGAATAATTTTTGCCGGATGACCAAAGATGTGTGTGGCCTTGGATTGTCATGATGGAATACAACATCTTTTCGATTTGTCAATTCGGGCCCCTTTTCTTCAACTGGATTGTTCTATTTTGTTAGTTGTTCAATGTAGACATCTGAATTGATCGTTCGGTTGGGTGGTAAAAGTACAAAGCAGACAATCCCAAAAAACTGATAACATAACTTTCTTTTGATTAATATCACTTTTCGACGTTGTTTGAGCTGGTTCACCTAGCTTGCTCCGCGATCTTTTCCGATTGACATTGTTGTAAATTTATCATTTATCATCACCAGGTATCAATCGTTTCAAAAATGGATCATTTTCATTACGTTTCTTTAACAAATCGCAGATGTTGTGTTGTGTTAAATGATTTTCTTTTAGTTCACGAGGAACCCATATATCGAGTTTTCGTACACAGCAAAGTTGTTTTAAGCGATTTTCAATGCATGTATGTGGTACATGAAGTTTCTCTGCAATCTCACATGTTGCACTGTGACGATCCAAATCGATTATAGCTTTGATTTGGTCGTCATCAACTTCAACTGAACGATCAGAGCGTTTTTCATCTTTGAGTGAAAAATCACCAAGACCAATTTTGACACTGCCGTTCTTTTAAAGCTTCGTCACCATAAACAGCACATAACTTTTTGTGAGCTTGCGACGCGCTTTTTTCCTTTCAGTAAATAATAAAGCAAAATATGACGAAAATGTTCGTTATGATTTTCCATTTTTCAACAGACGCCAAATAAAAACTACACAACAGATCAAAATCATTTTTGACTGATTGACAGTTGAAGTACCAACTATCAATTAACAAAATGTGCTTGACATTTCGATTACGTCAGCAAACCTAAAAATTCAACTAAAGCCTTGAGTGAAATCCGCAATTATTTAGTTGCAAACTTGTTTAAATTGTAATGAAATATCCGGAATTGGTATAAGTTTATATTCATGTTTAGCTAGTTTCACTGGCTGACAAATAAAAATAGGGTTTGCAAAGTCAATAGGTATTTACACTGAGTTAATTAAAATGAAGTTGCGTGCTAAGTTAGGCTCTGTTACTAAACACAATTTGAGATTAATTTTATAATAGAAATGATGACGGTGTAAATTAATGAAACTATATTGAGTCTGTCAGTTAGATTATCAAAATATAACGGACACGTATTTTTGAAGTGAAATTCTTTTCGGACGGGGTAGGGTGTAAATTGTAAAATCCTATGGATAATATGAAACGGAAATGCGCCACGAGCGTCACACGACTATATATATGTATATATAAATATATGTATATAAAAGTGTGTGTGAGATCTTCCCGACAAGCATAAAAGTTGAAGGGTAACTCGGCGAAGGCTGAAACGCCACGACCGTCACGAGCGTCACACGCGATACATTTGTTATACTAATAAGTTATTTAGTTTAACATTTGATAAGTGATGCGTGTGTTGCTCCATTCCCCTATGCCTTATGCATCGGCTTATACTGTTCACAGCTGACTCTCCCTACGCAATCACTAGCTAGACGCCAGCCGAATTGATCTGAATGGAAAGTTACTGATTATTTTTGGGAATGCGATAAAAATGTTCTTAAATATCCATAAAAATCACAATGTTTTAAATTTAGCTTATTTCAGAAAAGAGAGATTTATGTTAGGTTATTTAAGATTAGATGTGGGGTCCGTGCACACCACCATCAACCAATTAGCTCGTTTATTAGCTCGTGACGTCCCTGCTAAGTAAAAATTGTACCAAGCCGTGACGTCAAGTGATATTTCAAATCAGAATATATCTGTAATGATTTGATTATGTACTTAAAGAAAAAAAGCGTATTTAATATTTTTTGTCAATCTTCCTGATAGACGAATAACAAAGAGTCATCATTGCTATTTGAGATTGTTATAATCATTGATTGCTTCGACTGTAATAATAATATATTAAATTCACTTCCAAATTTAAACGAAACGAAATATTGTACTTTTATTTGATTATCGTCTGCTTGGTACATAATCAGACAACTCATAGCATAATTTCGCAACAGTTGATTTGAGTTTAATCGAGCTTAAATGTTGATTCTACAATTTGTATGATTAGAGTCACTTTAAAATTACCTCAACGACTGAGTTACAAATAAAGTGGATTATCGAAGGGATTTTTTTATAATTATAATTATTTTCATACACAATATGCTTAAACAACTGATTTTGATTCAAATAGTATTTGGTTTTCTATTTCCGAACAAATTAAATTCATACATAGAGTCTGTTTGAAAAGAGAATGGGCGTGGCGAAAAACGGAACTAACATTAAAAATTTTATTTGGCAATCAAACCCAGCAATCTGTAAAACGTCAAAGTTTTATGTTGATACGGATTTGTTTGTTGTTGTGATTTCTTGCGGTTTTTTGTATTTAATCATGTCTAAAAGGGGTAAAACCTTACAAATACGGTAGAAAAGCACTACAGCGCCCTCCAATTTAAATCGCATTCTCTTTCCGCACAGACTCACACTTTTTTTAATCTTGCAATGTATGGCATGTGCCGTGGCAGCTAGTTTGAAGTAATTATCCACGAGGTAGGCAACGATGCGAGTGATAATTTTTGAATCGCAACCGTCTGTATGGTATAGTTGCCGCTTACCATCAGGTGCGCCATACGCTTATTTACCACTCTTTTAAGAAAAATAAAATATTATTCAGTTTCTTACAACTGTAGCTTTTAGTGTATTGAAGAGGACTCCACTGTCAAAGTGCAGTCTTTGGTCCACGCTTGCTCTCTTTTTGGGATCCGTTGGGTAAAGACTGTCATCATTACCGTATTTTGAAACCAGGTAACCGCAGATTGCGTGACTGTAAACAAAAAAGAAGAATTTATGTTTTTTTTAATGGGCACTATAAAAAATATACATAAACATTTGATCCTCACAATTTAATTGTCAATAGAAAAAAATACAAACAAAATTACCAAATCGTTCCGTACATTTCTTAAAAAAGACTGTAATTTATAAATGGCGATATTTTTCATATAACGTGAAAAACATATTGCAACATAGCAGCAAATAAGTCACCATATCACCTTTTCTATGTTGGGCCTTATGTTGTTTTGTCAAAAAGCGGCAGAAAATTTCCTAGTAAGTAACTTATTTTGAATGAAAATGTTTTGAGGTTTTTCCACAGTGGTCGCTTCTATGACATTTACACAATTATGACGTAAGGTTTTGTAGTACAAGCATGGTTGACTAAATTAAAGCTTTGCACATAATCTATTTAGCGGAAACTTAGCTGCGATTGGACGAATACGCAAAATTTATGATGCGATGAAGTTGCGTTTAGTTAAGATTAAGTAATGAAGTGCAAGTTAGTAAGATGGTAATATAATCCAAATCCAACCGGTAACAATATTCTTTCATTTTTTAACTACTCCTACCTATAAAAATGTTTAATACCCATATAAATATCAACTCAACTATAATTGAGTTGCTGAGAGGGTTTTGCTGCGTCGTCGTGAAAAATTAAATAAAGTGTTCATTCGCTTAAAAATATTTTCAAGTTTGTTCCTCCGCGAATTGTCTAGGCGCTGATAAATTGTTTTGGAGACAAAATACGAGGACGATTTAATATTTCACTTTGTAAGTTTTTTTATTTAAGATATTTGCCTAGCAGAAGCTGAGAAAAGATAAGTGACTGCTATTTTTCATTCCGCCTTTAAGTTTTAAGCGATGACGGAATATTTAATTCTGTAACAACTCTCTTCGGGATGAAAGAAACTTCTGGAAACTTAACAATTCTCTTTTGGTTGAATAAATGATTGTGACGGAAGTTAAGTAACGTAACAAGTCGAAAACATTGTCTCTCTTAGATTTGTAATGGTTGCAGATGCAGATGTCATGAACTTCATTACGGTCAATTATTCAGGATACTGAAATCATCCATCATTAATTCATTTAGTACCAAACATAAATAAGTGAAAGGAATAGTAATAATCATACTTTATTTGAGATTTCTTCATGTTCCAAAATTCAACAGGAAATAGGTACAGACCCGCATAAACATTTTTTAATTCATCATCATCAGCCTATTAATGTCCCCACCGCTGGGGTACAGGCCTTCCCAATGAATGGATTAGGGAGATTGGGCCATGACCCACTACACGGGCCCAGTGCGGGTTGGTGGGTGCAAACGACTGCAGATGCAGCCGGGACCAACGGCTTAACATGCTTTCCGAAGCACGGAGGAGCTCGAGATAGTAAATTTTTGGTGACCCATCCAATGACCGACCACTGCGAAAGTTGCTCAACTTCAACGACCGCAGCCGAACGCGCTACCCACTGGCGCCATCGAGCTCCTCCTTTGTAATTCGTACTGGAGTATAATAAGGCAATATCATAAATTTTCAGTATTAAAAAAATAATTGTAGTTTTCAATTTACCTGTCCCATATAATAAAATCGTCGTCCTTTAACATGGGAACTGTATGTTGTGGATTCATCTGAAAAAAAAAAAAGAGTAATAGTATAAAATGTGAACAAAAGTTCACAATCTGAATCGGAAATGCAACAAATATTAGATACCTACAAAATTATGAATACAAATACAGGAATTTTAATATAAACCAATGTGACGGTTTTTATTGTTTAATCCTTCTTCTAGTAACACTAACACTTACTTTGTGACCTAATAAAACATCAACAGTGATTTGATTTGATTTTTTGATTTATAATTAATTGATTCTTCTTTTGTTTAGTTTTAATAGAAATAACTTTTTCATATGCTTCCATATGCCTTTGTCTTTGTTTGAGTGGAATCTTGGATTGTATCTTTTATTAAAGGAATGCGTTTTAGAGTCACAACTCAATACGACAAAAGTATTCGTTGAATACATACTATTAAGTATATCAATTTAAAAATGCAATTGCAATTGATTAAAAACATCCACAACATTTATTTTTTTTACACAGCATAATTATGCTGTGTAATTAAAAAATATAAGGCTTGAAAACTGCATGATAATTGATCATCACATAACATTTTTGTTTGTTCTTACAACTCTAATAATGTAAGTTACCTTAATAAGTACTCACTTTTAGATATTCTTCGGTGAATTGCTCTCCGTCTGGTAAATGCACATTGATGAGTTTCACATCAGGAATTTGTAGTGCGTGGATTGTCATGAGTACAGCTCGACTCGGTGGGCTAGTATCCTTCTTGTACAACGTCAACACCATTTTTGTCCCAACCTTAAAATTATGTTAAGTTTATAATAATATTATAGTAATTTATGTTATTTACGGGATTGTTACCATGTTCGGTCGCGGTCAGAAAATGTTTACCACCTTAAGCATCATAATTGCATGCACACACATTAGGTCACAAGTTCTAAATGAAATAGTCATAGTAATTTGATTGACTATAGATTATCTTTTTTCTAATGTTATGACCATCAATCGCTGTAGGAGATGGACTGACTATTATCAAGGTTTGATATATTATTATTTTTTTCAATACTTCGCCTCACACTAGGATTTTCTTCTGTATTGAGTGTAATCAAATATATAATCTTACATGCACATTGCACATACGCCCAGAACAGGACAAATTTCTATAGGCCATACAAAATTGCCGTACAGGAATCCGCGACCCGTTGCGCAGTAGGCGACGACTCTGCACTAGCTGTGACGTTAAATAAATACATTGAAAAACTAATATTTAAGTTTTTTCACTAAGAATATGAAAAAATAATAAAAGAGAAACTTCAAAAATCTTTATTTAATATCTTGTATAACCTCCCTCTGCAGCTACGAGTATGACGGCACGTAGTCCATCTCGCGTAGATGCAACAAGACGCGCGCATAGATCGGTCCCTTTAATATCATCCCACACTTGAGCACAGTGTGATCTAAGTTCATGAGGGTGCCTTTCATTTTGACCGTCCTAACGTTGAACCATAAGCCCCCATAAAATTTCAATAGGGTTTAAATCAGCAGACCGAGCGGAGCATTGAATGGGACGAATGTCACGGTGCAGGTTGAACCACGCCATAGTAGCACGGGCCGTGTGTATCCGTGTATTATCTTGAACATCACTAATGTGCGGGAATTCTGTGGCAGGATACACTACGCACACAGTAAGCAGCATCACTTCTGCCAAAAGCGACACATAATTAATGGCAGTAGCCCTCTAACCACGCCAGTTCTCCGATGCCGTCGAGGCTCATCCACCCCCATAAGTTAACTGTTATGCGACCAGACTTGTTTTGTGGCACGATATGAGCTTCGTCATACCGAGTTCGATTATAGCGCCGTAAAGATAATCTTTGATTTGGCTTGATTTAAAGGTTTTCTTATTGGTAAATATATTATTCGACCAATCAAAATCGAGGTGTTGTCGCGCAAAGTAAGCCAGGCTGTTTTATGGTGAGGTTTCAGCTCCACTTTAATAGCGGTGTCTGTAGTGTAGTCCAGCACTGTGCAAAGCTCGTCGGATCGTCCGAGCACTCACATCATATGAAGCAGCAAAATATCTAGTTGGTGTGAATCCGGTCTCTTCGTAACGACGAATCATTTCTGTTATTTGCGCAGCGGTTAGTATTGGTCGTCATCCTAAATTATTTCTATGATCTGTTAATTGTTCTTCGCTGTGACGCCAGATCCAAAACCTCGCAGCGAATCGCGATATATTGCATTCTCCTGATATAGCACTAATACTATGTCCATCTTCGAAGAGAAATATTATTTCAGCCCTTTGCTCCAGGGTCAAACTTGCCATTTTATTTCGTTATGAAATTTTTTTTCATAAAATTTTGCTCTTAGCCAAATAGTGTTTAAGCAATAATTTTTTTATAAATGTCATTTTAACAAATAAAGAAATGAGTTTTAATATCAAAAAGTTATATATAATTCTTTTTGTTATCTCGCTGCGTCATTTTGCATAATAACTTTTGAAAGGTAATAAGTTACTTGATTTTTGATTATTTCTGTTATACACATACGAACTACAGGACTCCAGACACTCGCCAATTTAAACCCATTTCACGATTGATTTTTTTATTTTTCACTAAGAAATACTAGAAGAAATTCAACATAATTATTTCGAGATCTTGCTAGCATAGTAGGTTAATGTGTCCGCCGGGATTGCTTATGTCGGGACTGAGTGGAATTTTATATATAGTAAAAATTACCTTGTCAAGTTTATCAAATTATACAAAATAAGTTCATACAAAGTATATTTTCTAGTAAAAAACTTAGTGTTTTATGCAACATAATATATATTATCTCAAAAGGTTAACAAAGGCAAAGAAACATCGAACCTTGTAGTGTTTGTTTTTAAACAGGGCATGACACTGACACTTAAATAACTGACACACGTAGGACAGCTGTTTTGTCTATGATAGCGAACCGCTGACGTCGTCGTAGCTGTCAAACTTCATTGATTGGGTTGGTAGCATTGAGGGAATAGTTGCTTTCTTTTATTCGACTAAAATATTCGACTATCTCTGTTGGTGCGTGTGGATGAATGGATGGAGTTTGACAGTTGTTGAATTTTGAATAATTTTTCCCATATCGATTTGAGTTCTCCATCGGGCGTTGTTTTTAATCGATTTTGAATTTTACTCGAAATTGAACTTCCTCGCTGTTTTAGGTGGGTGCTCTCTTTTCCTCCGCTTACGGCGAGCATAGTTATATAGTTTTGAGTTGATTCGTTGTTTCATCTCGAATGCGGCGGCTGTCTGTTTGACTGTGGCCTTTGCCTTCAGTTGGAGAGAGAAACAAATCATAGACACATATTTGGGAGTGGGCGGTCTATCATCTATGCTCAGTTGTCAAAACAACATTTAAAAATTTCACATTCTGTTTTCGGAAAAGTAATTCGAATTTTGTCTTCTGCCCAAAGTATCTTATAAGGAGGACCATTACCTCGTCGTCGGAGTCGTGAAATAGATCCGAAAAGTTTATATCCTGAAGGATATTGGCGGAAATAGCGCGGAGACGCTAGCCAAACTGTAATTCGGGTTGATAAAGTTTCACAGGTATCTTGGGTAACTCCTTATATATATACTCATACTTATTTTGCAAGTTGTGGCTATGAAAAATAACCTTTCTGTTTGATCTTCTGTGTCGTAGGTGGACGGTTATAGAATCTCGCAGGGCGGGGCAGCACTTGTGATAGGAAACAGATACTTACGGATAGTTTTATATTTCGAACGGTAAGCTATCATCTGACCTCATATCTATTCTCCTAGCACTAATTGAACTGCATTATGCATGATATGGTGATTATTGTCATCAAACATACCTAATCATTCTTGTCAAGTTAGTGAACATGAAATTGATTTCCTTCAACCCGGTGGGATGGGCCCCAGTCATGTAGTGATTCAAAAGATGTAAACATTAACCGTGAATATCCCTCACCCTACCCGCTAGTGATACAGATGTAGATGATCTATGTATTTTCCCCATGTCTGATCATTTTTTTCAATGTGAACTTCAGGCTTGTACGCTCTCCTCAAGAAATACTGGAGGAATAACAAGGAGATTCCCTCTCTGTACACGGACCAGAAGGGACTCGTGTTCATTCCAATAAAGGTTGCAAGCCGCTCTAGGGTTTCATGTAACTGCGGACAGATCATACCCTGCTGAACCTATCCTAAACAAGGTATTTTGATAACTAACACCGGGCGAGCGTGGAGCGGGTACCACCAGGCGAGGTTGGACCCCGACCTACCCCTTTCTATATATATATATATATATATATCTCTAACTGGTTGACTCATTGAGAACCATAACTAATTAAGTTTATCACCAATATCGATCAAAAGAGCCGTAGAACCTCTGAAATCCACTAAATAGCTTATTAAGTCTAGTCTTTGTGGTCTCTCAATGGACAGTCCATTGCAGAGTGGATAGAATACATTAGATATAGTTTAAGAACTTATGTAAGTACATGGTAGATTGTTATGAATGTCTGATGTCTATATAATTCTAAGATTCATGCTAACTTGTGATTTATAAAAACTCTCACTTTAAAACTACTATATTTAGCTTAGTTAGGAGAGTGAACGTTGGTAAAATATAGTATAACATTTCTTGCCCACTGGGGGAATTTGTATAAACTCTAACATTGAAAATTACTGTATTCAGCCTCGTTGTGACATGTTGGGTTAGTGAAATATAGTTATAAGGTTTCATGTCAACTTGGCAATTTATATAAACTAGAACTTAGAACTACTGTATTAATCTTTTTTAGAATCCATAGTTGGTGAAATATAATTATAGCATTATTTGAATTTTTTTGGTTTTCTTTCATTGCTTCCCCTGCTCTCTGAGGTAGAGTAAAAGAGGGCAGTTGAGGAGAAATTAGAATCACAACCTTTTCTTAAACTGACCGAAAATTATAGAATTTACTTACATCGCTTTGCATACTATTACACTAATTAAAGAACATGAGACAGCTTTCAAAAACAATGTAACCGGATGGACTTTCAAACTGCCATAAAATTCTAAAGTTCTAATTTGACAATATAATTTTCTTTGAAAACAGTATGGCGTTCTAAAGCTTTACGAAGCTGTAGTATTTTAATCGATCGGTGACCAGGTGCTGCAGTAATCAGCGCTTCTGACCACAGAACTCACGAATCCATGATTGAAGCCCGCTACAGAATGATGTTTGTTTGCCAAACATGTCTCTTCTCAAACATGTACAATTATCTTCCAGTTTCAAAGGCTTATTTTAGAAGCGAATTGATTGGTGTATATCTATTGTAATCATGTATTAATATATGGTATAAGTTGATCATGTAAGTGTAAGACATTATCAGTAGAATTAATTTGGTTGATTGTACTTAGATCTATCAAAACATGCATGCATGGCTCCGACTCCAAATTAAAAATTAACTTTAAATCTTATAAAAATAAATTATTTCTTTTTTGTTTTGCTTTTTGGGCGAGTTCAACAGTACCGGTGTGATTTCAGATATCTTGTTGAAGAAACAGTCATCTAGGCGGCGAAAGATTGTATGTAGTGGTCTTGATTTGAAGAAGTCGAATTTAACTTAAAATAATTTTGAGGAGCTCGATGGCGCAAGTGGTTAGCGCGTTCAGCTGAGATCGTTGAAGTTAAGCAACTTTCGCAGTGGTTGGTCATTAGATGGGTGACCAAAAATTTACTATCTCGAGCTCCTCCGTGCTTCGGAAGGCACGTTAAGCCGTTGGTCCCGACTGCATCTGCAGTCGTTAGCACCCACCAATCCGCACTGGGCCCGCGTGATGGGTCAAAGCCCAATCTCCCTATTCCATCCATAGGGAAGGCCTGTGCCCCAGCAGTGGGGACATTAATAGGCTTATGATGATGATGAAATTTTATTAGAATAATTAAAATTTTAGCTTATGTTTTAGGAACCTTTTGAAGTGAAAACTTCTTTAGTATCGTTGTGGCTTGAGATTCGATGAAACGGAAGTTGAGTATTTGCCACAAGATATCCGTAATTTTATCATTAAGCATTTACTATAAAAGACAGATGGCCGAATGCAATCGGTCTCTTGAGGTCGAGGCAAGTGGTCGGTGGTTCCAACCTGAGTTCGGATGTTAATTTTAATATTTTTTTCTTATTTTACTAAATGCAGCTATTATTTATTTTTGAAAACGAGAACAGTACTTTACGGTTTTTTCCTTTTTTTTGGTCTGTGGCTATTTCCGTTTTACACAGAAATTTAGCCAATATCCCGAGAGACACGAGACGAGTGAGATTGCTCGGTATTTATTTTAACAAAATAGATTTATTATTTTATCCGAATAATCATTCTTCCTTGAAGGTTTATTCTTATATGTGCCATCTAGATTTGGTTGCACTATTATCTGTCAAACTGGTTTACGTTTATGTAAATTCTCAATAGAAGACTGGGGTGTGCCTTTTGTTAACCGTTAAAGAAAAGCAATTTAAATTACGGCGTGAATGTTAAACAGTATTAGTGGTTATTAAATTTGGTTTGCACCTAAATCAAAACATTTTTTTTTAAATTTACTGTACATGTTAGCGCCATCTATTATGAATTGGTTAGCACTAAATTTACTGTGTGTGTATTTCTACTAGAAGATGCCAACATATATATATATATATATATATGTGTGTATATATATATATATATATATATATATATATATATATATATATATATATATATATATATATATAGATATGTGTTGGCGCATATAAAAAAGATCTAGTAGAAAAACCTGCATAGTTAAGTATATCACGTTTGGTTGGTACTTACTGAAGTAGTTTATTATTACGGCTCTGTTTTTTTATTAATTCCCAATGTTCGCATGTTTTGTTACAGTAATTTAAAGTGAATAAATATTTCGGAAAAAATAACTAAGATAAAGAAAAATCCTATACAACAAACGTGATTTTTTACCGTTTTGTGCTCTATATTAATAACGGCAACAAGAAAACGCTTGAAATATTCACAGACTATTTAGTTATATATTTTTTTAAAAATGATTAATTCGAAATTAAAATAAATATTATTTTAAAAAGGGCTCCTAGACAACAGATGTTGTTTAAATAATAGTAGGTACGGAATCCTTCGTGCGTGAGTCGGACTCGCACTTGGCCGGTTTTTAAAATAAATCTTACCTTTCAAATGTTTTCAAATTTTACAGTAATTTTTAGTGATTAAATATTTCGAAATAAAACCAAAGATAAAGAAATAAGATAGGTAGGTACTGAACACAAGAAATAAAATAAAAATTGTTGGTAACACATAGATCCTTAGGTAGACCAAAAAGTGCTTGCCATTAACCAATTTAAGGAACCCCTTAAAACCCTATAAACCTTTATTCTGTAGCTCTTAAGGAAATAAAGATACGTTTTCCGTTGGAATGGTAAAAATCCTGATTTAATTAACCCAAGAAGATTACCTTTACTTCGAATTTCAATAAAAGTCATGCGCAAATCATGTCCATTATAAGATTAAACCCGGAACGGTTCCTTAACATTTCGGAAATATTTCTGTTATTATGTTCGTGTCCGAATATTTATATTTGTGAAACTACAATGAAATGCTTTTGATTTTAATCCGCGAATATGACCGTAAAGGGTTTTAGTTCCATAAGCTATAAAAAGTTCTACGTATGCATACTATTTTCTATTATGGAAAAAAAACATTTTAAAATCATTCACTTATTCAATTCATTGTTAATTATAAATCGGCCTCCATTTGTGAGCAATAATACTGCCTTTTTTGTTGAATTTTACTATTTCTGATTACTGTTTTCGATACCATAGCTTTTTCAATTTTTTATCAAATTAGGGTTGATAATAAAAAACACGTCTTATTTCCTTTTTGATATATTTAAGTATTTTATTTTCCTTTTGCACATGGAACTTGCTGCTTGTATATTTTAACTCTCCTGTTAGATATTCTAAATACTTCATAACGAATTCATGAATACGTAATCTGTGCGATTTAGTGCGGATTTGAAACAATTACTTTTTGAAATAGGATTCTACGTTGGTAGATGTAGGTTTGTCTATTTTCGATTTGTACACATTTTCCATCAAAGAAATGGCCCAGAAGAATCTGAATACAAGTTGGAAATTACTACAAGTTTTCGTTATTGCCAAATTTATTGCTAAGAGTCGCTAAGAGTAATGATCAGTTTTTCAGCTTTCTATGTTATCGTAAAAGTATCGCGGATTTTTTCCGGGCAATTTAGCTCATCAGTTTACTATAAAAGTCCTTATATATCGCACGAACATTTCTTGCACCGTTATTACCTTTATAATTCGTCTGAAATCACCTTGAAAGTCACTACGCTGAGCTTATCGCTCTTACACAAACTCTTAAATTAACGACGATCCTTTTACACAGTACTTATATAATTGTCATTTTTGTGTAATTTTCTATATTAATTTAATTTAATTTTAATTTAATTTTAATTTAATTCAATTTATTGCACTCATGTGGTTACATCGATGGTTACAAAATGTTTATAGTACCTAACATGAACCCTGTCAGGGTATCGCAATATACAGTACAGTTAAAGATAAAAATTACAAAAGCATCTAATTAATAAATAGTATATAAGGAACCTAATTTGTACCAAACCACCTAAATCTCAAATCATGCATAAATGTCATCTGATTCCATTTGTTTAACAATTTATTTACTTGTACCTTAGAAATGTTTGAGTAAATAATTGACCCTTTCGGAGTTTTTTTACGTAATAAATACGAAAGTCACTATACTTTTAGTTATAAGAACTAAAACTAATATGGATTAAAAAAATAAGGCTGGTATTCCACTTGGCAGGGTATTGCTCAGTGACAGAAATTTTCGAACAGATTTTTTTTATCACTTGCGGCCGGCCTAAAAATATCTTTTGATATTCGACAAAATAGTAACCATAAAATTTATGAAATCAAGCTTTTTACCATTGCAACTGTAAATTAAGTGACCCGTTAATATATTTACTTCCATAGCTACAGAATTTAATAGGGTTTTAAGGAAGTAAATGGGAAGCAATTTTTGGCAAATTAAAATTCCTGTAATTGTAATTAGTACGTACTCTACGAGTGGGTTCCTGACGTCAGAACCGCAGGTCACCTTCAATGTTTTAATTATAATATTGGGGATTTTTTTATAATTCGAATCTCCCAAATCGTGTTTGTTAAGATTTCATGGTTTATTAATTTAATAATTCCTAAACCGGTTATTAATAATTTAAATTATACACGATAAATTACGCGCCGGGTCCGACAAAGTTCAAATAATCAAACAATCATTCAATAAAAATAATTTGCAAAGAATTAAAACAAAAAAATCTATCCAGTACTATAAAATATAATATTTTAGCTTCCGGAACTTAACACTTATTAAGTTTTTTTTGGAATGCAAATGTTGGTTTGTTAGTCCGAGTATAATAAGTAGTTGCTTACCTAATAAATCGGTAAACTCTAGTCCGAACGACACAGAACTGGAAAACAAACTGACGGACGTGTCGCAATACTAAGAGAATAAAGCGTGAACTGGTTATTTAAATGAATCGATTTTAATAGTTCAACTAGAATAACATAGTGATGTTATTTATAATGGGGCAATTTAACTTTATTCGATTATTTGTCGATCACAGCATGAAAAGGGTTTGATGTATATTTACGTTTTATTTCTCATATTAGCGATATGATACGAGGGCGGGCCGATAAGTAACTAGCCTCTGCTATTTAAAAAGTTAAAATTAAAAAAATATATATGTCATTTTTAAATTCATATCTCTGGCCACCTGTGTTCTAAATTTGAATTTGGTTGCCCGAAAATTTTATTGACTTTGAATGAATGAATGTGCTCTTTCTTATGCCACAGTAAAAAACTGGGTGGCTGAGTTTAAATGCGGTCGTATGTGTCCAAGATGAAGCCCGCTCCGACGTCCAAAAAGCGTCACGACTCCGGAAATGGTCGTGAAAGTACATGATATGGTTTTAGCAGATCGACGATTCAAGTTATCTGAAATAGCTAACACTACAGGTATCTCAAAATAACGGGTACATCATATCCTAAGTGAAGAATTAAATATGAAAAAGTTATCGGCCCGTAGGGTGCCGCGATTGCTTACGCACGACCAAAAAATGATTCGGGTCTAAAACTCAAAAGAATGTCTGGACCGTTTTCAGAGTAAAAAGGCCGATTTCTTACGTCGATTTGTAACAAAAGATGAAACATGGGTTCGTCATTACACGCCAGATTCAAAAATTCAATCAAAACAGTGGACTCAATGTTCAATTTCATCCATTTTAAAACCAGTTGACGAAATATATTTTCAAATGACAATAAATCAATAAAATTTTCGCGCCACCAAATTCAAATTTTGAACATAGGTGGCCAGAGATACGAATTTAAAAATGACATATATATTTTTTAAATTTTAACTTTTTAAATAGCAGAGGCTAGTTACTTATCATCCCGCCCTCGTACCACTCTTAGGTCTACTTGCAGCTAGCTAAATCTCGATTTAACGAACTGGATTGTGTCCATACAATAATGTTAAATTTAGTTTTAGTTGAAACGAGAATTGGCAAATTTGGTGCAATAGGGAAGATGCAATATTTTTATTTTTGTTTTCATTTTAAAGAATTCCATGTAGAATAAACCACAGATTTATTAAAAAATTAAAACATTGTGATTTATCGGAAAAAATGCGGTTTTAAATTGACAATTTAAATTTTCGCGCGAAAACGAACCTATGGTTGCGATGACGTCACTCCTGTCTGTCACTGGCCGTAATTGTTCGTTGCTGGGTTTAAATTTTCATACTTTTGCATATTTTTTCGACTTTCGAAATATTTTTTTGAAAAATTTAAAATGGACTATCCATCAACATCATGTGATCATAACAATACCACTAATATTCCGAAAAAAGCCGTGTTGACTCATGTTTTGTGCCAATCTACTTCAACAAAGTTCCCAAATAAATTGTTTTTGACTGGAACTTCTGACCTAAAACTGAAAAAAAAAAGTGGTTTCAAGCTGCGAAGAGAAATGACAATTATTCTCCAAAGACCATTATTCGATGCTGAGAAGATCACTTTGACGTAAGTTGGCGAATATACTTGTTATATGCTTAATTAATCTGCTTGTACGTAAAAACGCATTAGTAACCTACCTAATACTTACAAAACCTGTCTATAACATATTTTTAATTTTACAGTTAGAGAATGACGTCGAAAATTAGATAAAGTTTAAAATGTGTGGCACAATCTTCACATTGGCAGGACTGAACCAAGCTTTGCGTTTCATTTAAAATAACTGTAACACGATAACCTTCTTTACGTAGTTTATGCTCCGGAGAACTCGACCTTTTACTGTACATAATTTTCCATCTCTTATACTTTGGACATAGCCGATTGCATTATCGCCGTAAGATTTGTAGAAGCCGCTGAATAAAATACGAATAAACTACGATTTTTACATACCGTAGTAATATACTCCGTTTCATTTCTACACTTAAAAACTCTGCACTTTGGACAAAAAAAGTTATAACCATGTTAACGCTAACTCTTGGTAAATTCCTGGAGTCTGCTTTGATAAACGCAACTTCCATTTTTATTAAATGTAAAAAAACGCAATAAATTTTCCCATAAAATAATATTTACTTTAACAACCATAACCTCAAAGAAGTGGTCATTACAGGAGTGACGTCACTAAACGCTGATTGGTGTTTTAAAATACGTTCCGTTTCAAGTATTTTTAATTCGTAATAATTGTTAAAAAACAAAATTATGTAAAATAAAAACGTTGCAGTGGCATTTCTTTTATATTTTTTTAACATTTTAATCATAAAATTTTCATAAATATTATATATGCATCTTCCCTATTTGGGCAATAATGTCCTAAACTTTTAGGATAAGATACACACTTTAGACAATAATTGGAACAGATTTTAGGAATTAAGTTAATTACTTATCTGACACTAGTTAAGTGGGAATACAATTAAGGGATTGTTTTATACTCTTATTAAATTTAAGCAATACATAGTTACAAACAAATATAATATTCACACCGAGTCCCAGACGGAGTAAGCTTATTAGCTAAAATCATAACTTGGCACAGAATATAAACCCACATTTATCTATATGAAAAGATTAATGCGGTGAATAATTTTCCGCTTCAGCAATATTCACCTTGCTGAATCTCTGATACCTATCCCGTGTCCTATGGAGCCCTGCGATCTTACAAGCGGTAAAACAACCAACACCACCACACGGAAGTATTAGGCATCTTTCTGTAAGGTGGAGAATTATGCCCTATATAGGCACTCCCATTCAAGAAGTTATTCCGTTATCCTCTACCTTTCTTCAGATCACTAAGCGCGTTCAATCGTCTGTACCACGGCGAGTGTTCTGAAGAGTTATTCTATATTATTCCACCTTCCCCTTTCCTTCAGAGGACCACGCGCGCTGGCCTTCGGTGTCATCGTCTAACTGTGGCCACAATTCCAACGCGTACAAAGAAATTTGGTAACTCATTTCTTTGTCGCACTATCCGTAAATGGAATACTCTGCCTGCTCACGTGTTCCCTCCTTCTTACAACCTGGGATCCTTTAAAAGAGGCGTGAAGAAGCAACGTGCAGGCCGGCAAGGTGAGGATGGCTGGTGTGGCAGGTAGAACTGCTGTAGCTATCATCACTTCACTATCTTTCTTGTTTCATTCTGGACTTAACCATCACTTAACATCAGGTGGGGCGGAGTCATTTGTCGGACCTATCTATAAAAAAAAGACACAGATCTTTCTTGGTTTACATTTCATACGCGTTCGGCGGTTCTATCATTTCTAGGTTCCCGTGAAAAGGTGATTAATCTGCTTATCTCGGCTTTCCCTAGCTACTACATCCTTTCACTTCTAATTAGTTAAATCTGCGAGTCATTTAAAAAAGTTATAAGAGGAATCAGTGAGTTTATCAGAAAATACTAAAACAATAATACTTCAGTAATAAGTATGCATAGTCACGACCCAATTCGTGTCTTTGAATTACTAATCGTTTGTAACGTTATAACTTAAATCTTCCTAATACATATCAGTATATTTTCCACATTTAATTTGGAACCAGTACGACAGATGTCCTTTTTGCCCCTTTGCTATTTGAATGAAAACCCTCAGATTATTAACCGTAACCCTGGGGTTTACACGCAAATCCATTTATTCGACGAAGGTAAGGCTTTACTAATAATCTGGGGACAGGAAGATACGTAGGTATATGTATGTCTAACCTATAGTCCTTATTTAGTGTGAATATGGTTGATTGTTTCTTCTCTCAAATGAATAACAACAAAAAGAAAAAACAAACATCGAAAGCGTAAAAAAAAATATAAAACACTATCTTTTATACTCCAATACTAAATCACGAATGCTAGAATTAGATGAGAGTGCAGACGGAAACGAAGTTCTGCAAACAACATTGATATTTTAATGTTAATTATTATATTTTATGTGAAATAAAAAATGGCTCACTACTGATTTATGTTTTTAAAAAAAGGGGTTTATTAATAGAATTTGGCTTAATTAGTTTATTGTCTGATTTAGGGGAAAATTGGGAAATTAGCTAAGGTGGGAGAGTTGAACCATATTTTAAAATATTATTAAAATTTGGCGCAGTCAAAACGTCAATTCGTTAATTGGTCACATAAGCGACGCTAAGGTCAAATATTTTTGACTGATCAACTTTTTTATTTAATCTGTCTGAGGCGAGACATCAATCACAACAAAACAGTCTAGCCAAAAGAGTTTTATGACGGAAAATTTATTTAAAGTTAAAATGAGACACTTTTAAGATATTTACTTTATCTGGACTTCTTCCGATCGATTAGATCGGTGCAGACGGTCAAGGGGTAGAAGAAAATAATATTACCTTAAATATACGGGGTAAATAAAACCAATCGAATATTAATTAACAAGGACAATTTATAACTTTAAGAACAAAAAAAATGTACAAAGCTGACAAAAAAACATGAATTATTACTTAGTTTGATTACAACAATCAAATAATAATATAAAAGAAAAACTTGAATTGGCGCGCCGGTGTGGAGGAAAATACTACAATAAATTTACGTTACCGCAAAATTAGATCGCATTATGCTACGCCAAATCACTCTCTTACTGATTCTTGCTTGTGTAAGTAACTTTAAAAATGCTAAAATACTACTATATGAACTTGAGTAAAATTTTAGTAAATATTTCACTCAATCGTTAAATTAAATTAAAAGTCTTCACAGGTATTTTAAATTATGCAACGGAATTAAATGCAGTTATCTGCAATAGATAGAGTGATTAAAATTTAAAGTCAAGAGGAAGGTTTGTCTTGAAAACCTAAGAAACAAATAGGAAGGTTTGTATTTGTGTTAGTACAATGCATGCCCGGGAACAAAGGCATCTTCTAGGCAGGCGTGGACCATCCTAGACCTCATCATCACTTTCCATCAGGTGAGATTGTGGTCAAACGTATTGCATGCATAAAAAAAAAGACTAAAAAAGT